TGCTTCAGATTCTTTTAAAAAAGGGGGAAGGGGACGGTGGGGAAGAAGGGAAGGGGACTATCTTTTATATACCGCGCTATGCATAACTGTCTTATCAGCCCAGGTATAACGCGGTTTATAAGGGCGTTATATATGTATAACGCTCTTTTAAAGAGCGTTATACCTTAACATCCAAAACGTCCGTTAAGGTATAGCGCTCTTTAAAAGAGCGTTATATATAGTTAGCTAATTTATTTTTTTTACACGCATTTCCGTCCTGCTTGACAAAAATAACCAAAAATGAGTTCTGAACTCTATAAATAATCACCTTAAATGGAGAAGTGGAAAGATTTTCAAACGGTTCCATTAAGGTGAGTTAACCCCAGCTGTCCCTAGTTATAATCATCCAATGAAAAATTTATGTACTTCATCACTTAAAAGCAACACAAATTTAATTTGTTCATCCGAAAAGCTACTGATTAATTGTCAATTTATGTATAAGGTTTAATTTTAACTTGAAAGTTTGCTCTCGGAAAAATCAATTAACAAGGTACTTGCTTGGCATAGAATTTCTTTTAAACTTTCGCGTGTTTGGTTTGACTTTCTGAACATGTGCTCACGATTTTTTTGTTTGAGAAGTGCTTTGGGTTCTTTTTTCTTATAAGAGGAAATGATCATTTTTTCTATATGGAATATCTTGAATTTAACTTCAGTCACGCTATAAGGTTATTCATAATTTTGATATTAGCAAATCGTCTCATGTTTTAATACTAATTTAGTATAAACTGAGTGAATTCCGCATGTCAAATTGATTTAAAGAAAAAAAATTCAAATTGACCCAAAGTAATTTTCTTCAACAAATCAATGTTTCAAAAATATTGTATAGAACCAACTCAATGCCCTCTGGGTTGAGCTTGTCGCATGACGTTTGCCTAGTGCGATTTACATCCCATGTGTGGTTTGCAGGTTACAACATAATGGGGATTTATCTAGTGCGCACATAATACTCATCACAGAGTGCTCACCCGAAAGACAAAGACTGTGACAGAGAATATAGCGGTTTCGAGTTATTTCGGGATTCCAAAAAAAAAAATATTGTATAGAGGGACTTGTCTCAAAATTGACATGTAAAGATGGACATAGGGTTATGTTGTAGACTGCTGTGAATGGGGGGATGTATTGGAAATTAATAATGAAGGGAAGTAAAAGGGCAGTAAAGTGAGTCGTGACATTTAGAAAAGTAGTTAAAGGGGAGGTCCATAGCACTGTGTTTCTGAGCGGGCTATTGCGTGTATGTGCAATGTGTGTAATAGTATGAAGCAGTATTCCCTCTTTTTCTCATCCGTCTTTCAGCCTTGCGACTTTCAAGACTGAAAAGCAACAGAGGCTGGCACTCTGTAACTTGAATTAAAGCAGTGTGACTGTGGACCCTCTTCGTTTCTCTCCTTTGGATAATAGAGTAGTGTAAATTACGCTTTTACTGTTTAGCCGATTGGCTAAAAATAATTATATCTGCTAGCCAAAAAATATATACACTAATTATATTTAAAAAAATATTATTTATATATTATACATTAATATATAAAAATTATATATTTTATCGACTATTATATTTTAGAGCAGCTATATTACGTAATTTTTCCAATAAAGTACTCCCTCAATCAGAGGCGGATTTAAGATTTAAACTATATGGGTTCAATCTTTAATATTTTTAGCATTGAACCCATAGTATATTTAAAGTTATGTGTTCATATCTACTATTTTTTGTAATTTTGATAGAGTTTATACATAAATTTATACTATGCGTCAAAAGTACTGGATTCAGTTGAGCCCGACCCTCGTTTGATGCATCTGCCCTTACCTTCTAGTTCATTTTAGTTGTCTTGTTCAGTGTTTTAAAAGACTTTCATGGGACTCGCTTCGGGGCTCGCTCCGGGGAGGGGCACTATCAAAATGCCCCGAGACTCACGTGTGGGGCTTAGTTCTGTGAGGCTTATGTCCCAAGCGCTCGGTTGTGCGCCCGAAATACGTTTGACGCACAGGGCTCGCCTAACAGTTCCTAACGCAAATTATGTGTCTAATGACCTAATTGGCATCGTTGACAATCAGAATTCTCTAACAAATGAATGATTAAAGTTCTATTCATCTATAAAATTGAAGATCAAGAGTAATTCTACATAATGAGTCGTAGTATTACATATTTGCTAATTGAGAATAGCGTGAGGGTGAGTATCACTTGAAGAGTCAAAATTTACATCATCACTTGCTATAGGCGTGATAACCCAAAATGTCATCTTTAAATTTAATAAGTAATTATATGTTCTAAGACCTCAAAAGAACCATTTATCATTCCTCGACTTGCGTGCGCAGTCCGTAAATTTTTTCAAAAAGTTTTCATGTGAAAATGAATTAAAATGTGAAATAGAGCTTTAAAACTCAACCAAGTTGACTTTAGTCAACATTTTGAACAAACGGACCTGGATCAGTATTTTGACAATTCCGGTAGGTCCGTATAGTGATTTGGGACTTGGGCGTATGCCCGGAATCGAATTCCGAGGTCCCTAGCCCGAGAAATGAAATTTTGATGAAAAATTAAAAGCTTGAAAGAAATTTATTGACCTCGGGTCCGTATTTTAGTTTCGAAGCCCGGTATAAGTCCACTATAATATTTATGACTTGTCTACCAAAATGGGTGAGAATCGGAGTTGATTTGACGTGATTCGGACGTCCGGTTGTAAAAAAATAAATTTTAAAGTTTTCTTGAAAACTTCATTTGATTTGGTGTCCGATTCGTAGTTCTAGGTGTTATTTTGGTGATTTGATCACGCGAGCAAGTTCGTATGATGTTTTAGAACTTGTGTGCATGTTTGGTTTGGAGCCCCGAGGGCTCGGGTGAGTTTCGGATAGGCTACGGGATGATTTCGGACTTAGGAAATCTGGTTTTCTGTAGACTTTGGCTTATGGTATTTCCTTCATCGCGTTCGCGAATGTACTCTCGCGAACGCAAAGAGCAAACTGAGCTGGCTGAATTTTCCTTCTTCGCGAACGCGAAGATTAGACCGCGAACGCGAAGCTATGGGGACTTTACCCTTCGCGAACGCGAACGCGAAGCTTTAGAGGCTTGAGGGAGGGATAAGTTGTCCTTATACGCGAACGCGAGCACTGGCACACGAACGCGAAGGCCAGGGGGGGAAAGCCTTCGCGAACGCTAAGGAGGACTCGCGAAAGCCACGGGCTGCTACTCATCGCGAACGCGATAGGCCCTTCGCGAACATGAAGAAGGCCTGACCCATGTGACTTAAAACAGAACCAAAACGGGATTTTTTTTTCATTTTTTACAAACCCTCAATTATAACTCGGCTTAGGGGTGATTTCAAAGGATTGTTTCACGATTTTGAATTGGATAAGTGTTCTTTATCATATAGTGATTGTATTTCATAAATCTAAGCCTATATTCATCATTTATTTCGGATTTAGATGAAAGAAATTAGAATTTTTGTAAAACTTTTCAAAAACGAAAAATTTAGTTTTGAAGGTCCATTTGATATCGGAATTGGATAATTTCTGTATGGTTGGACTCGTCTCGGAATGGGTGTTCGGATTTTACCCTTCGGAATGTGATGACCC